TGAGTCGATCCAAGCTATGGGACAGTTGGCACACCTGACGGTTGTCTATCTCTGGTGTAATGCACACACAAAAAACTGACAACAAGTGAATCATTTTTCTATCCAATCATTTACTAATTGGTACTAAAGTTGTAACACTTGTATATTGAATAAAATGATTTAACATTAGGTTATCATGAATTTAAATGTGAAAAATATACAAATACTGATTATAATGCCATTAGTAATGTTAGCGATAGTTATTTACTTGACTACTATGATTCAGATAACAAAAATATTTATTATTATAATTATTATTGTAATGGTTATGATAGTAATTAATTTACTAATATTACGTATTTGTAAAAGTAATTTTTGTATTATTATTATTATTGTTTTATTTAGAGTAATGTCAGTCAATATTTACTGTATTTTTTTAATTGTGATTACAATTAATATTTTATTGGAAAAATACAAAATACTGAATTAGAAATTTTAAGTTATAATTTTAAGTTAGATTTATAATTTTTGTATTATACTGTATAATGAAAATTTTATATAATAATAATTTTTAATAATCTATAATTATATTATATTATATAACAAAATAAATATATGTGTTTAACATTTAAATATGAAATTGCGTGATGAACTTTAAAATTTTAATAAAAAATACAATTATTATAATTTTTTAAAATAAATTTATAATCATTTATTTAATAACTATTTAATTTTAGTCAACTTTTATGCGAATCTTTGCCGATAATGTGTGAACCAAAATGAAATATCTGACATATTTTATGACAATCTATAGTATAAGTAATTAATATTATATTTTCAACATAATATAAATTATAAGAAATTATTTTTTTAATAGTAATTATTACTGTATTACAAACTATAAGTGCGCTAACCGTTTGAAATACTGGATAAGTTATGGCACCAAAAGCTCCGACATTTAAACCGATTCTCTTATTACTCGACAGTCGTTCAAAATATGTCATTAATTTTAGTTTAAATCGTCCACTAATTGGCCACCGATTTATAAGCCATTGAATACAGGCTAATGGTTTGCACATTAGATGCAATTTATGTGATAGATATGAGGCAATTAAATTGATAATAATTATGAAAAACATATTACTTAAGGCTAGCGTTAGTAGTGATAGTTTTAGACTAAATATAATATTTTCAAATAAAACTTGATGCCAACATAACAGGTTGAATGGTACCAAACAAAACAATTCAATTAATTGTATTTTGGCTACAAATCTATTGTTAGTATCGATAATATTGCAATATTGATTGTGTTCAACAATATATCTACCAGTGCTCACGTATAGGTCGGCAATATTATTTGGCCATTTATTATTATTTAGTATGCCAATCAATTTCCCATTGATATTGTTAATTTTATTGAATACCAAATAAATTATAACAGGCAGTGTTGTAGCCATAAATGCTAAATCGCATACCAATACAATACATGATATAAATAGCAATACTAACGGTATGATTGCCCATAAAATTTGTGTCCAGTTATCATAATTTAGTAATGGCAATAAAATTATAAGATATAATCCTACCAATACTATAAATATATATAAATAAAAGTTTTTATTATTTGATTAATTAAACAATTTAAAAAAATTAGTAATAAATATAATAACCTGAATATGTATAACAAGCAATAATTTGTAAAAATATAAATTTTGATAAATATGTGATTTTTACAAGAGTTTCATAATCATTGCAAAAAAAATTGATAAACTTATTATTATTATTATTTTGTACATTATTTTTAATATCTAATTTGAATTGTTTGATAGCCAATGGATTTGCTATTATAATAAACAACTCAATCCAATCCATTGATTGTCGATCATAGTTATAATGTAGACAATGGTATAACATTAGTACCATTATTAGGATAATCAATACAGACAATTGGTTATATTGGTCGAGACCACCAAAATTTAATGTAAAATCAAATAATAGTAAACGTGTTTCACGTGAGGCAGTCAAACAAATCAATGATTTAATAATATTAAATATATAACATAAATATATGAAATTTTCTAAAAATGTTGACTTATTTTGATCAATAAGTTTTCGGGTAATTAATGTAAAATATAGATTAACTAGAAGTCTAATTGTTTGAAAAGTTTGAGTAAACATTAGTATTATATTATGTATTGTACTGAAAAAGATTGACTTAAATAAAGTACAATAATTTATTAGTATTAGTATTAATTATTATAATTATTATTGCTAATAAACCTTATTATTAATGAATACTATATAATTAATTTAATTAATTACTATTTAATAATAATAATATATACACTAATAAAAATTTATTAATATAATAAACTAATGATTTATTTACTTAACAATTATTAATTGCATTAATATTATTAAAATATTATAATTTTATCAATTTTAATTTTGGTCATTAATTACTATTAAAAATTATGAAATATTAAGTTAAAACTATTTTTAAATATTTAATTAAAATATAACGTGTATTATTTATGTATTAATAGTAAATGTACTTGATTAGAAATAAATTATTAATTTTAATTTAATATATGTCTGTTAGATAGTAAATATAATAAAAATTTATTAATATTTAATAACAAATTTAGTTATATTTCTTAATGAATATTTAGAAATAATGAATTTAATTAAAATAATGCGTGTAATAATAATAATTATTATTATTATTTCAATATTCAAACTACAATTAATATATTCATTAAACCTAAATGGACTTAAAATTATAATTATAAGTTTATCAAAATGACAAAAATTCAATATATATTTTTTTACAAATAAAATTATTGATTAATATTTTAAATAAATAATTCAGTCTAACTTTAGACAGTAAACAAGTAAATAATATTTAATAAATATTTATAGTATATATATATAATATTTATTAAGTAATTTTTAATAATATAATAAATATAACTAAAAAACAGAAATAATAAGTTAAAATAAGATTATTTCAACTGTACTTAATTACAAAAAGTTATAATCAATATTATTGTTAATTAAGATAATCATAATTTTTAATTATTTAAATTAAATTTATATTACATTATAATACAGTATACTATTATACATATAATTAACAAATAAATATTAAAATTAAATAATTGAATCATCAGAAATATGTATAATTTTTTACAATTATTGTCCAGAAAATTAATATATAAAATATTTTGTTGTTTTATTTTAAACAGTATTAGTAAACTAATAGTACATGCGATTGAAAAGTAATGTTTGTAACTAATTTGATTGTAATGTTTTTGTATTTATAATTCAATTGTTTAATTTAGATGTGTCTAAAAAAAATTTCTATATATATATATAATAATTAATTAATTTTAAATTATCTTAATATTATTATTTGATATAATTTATATCAAACAAAATAACTATATGTGTTATAAAATAGTTAACAATAAAACAGGTTTTTGGATTAAAAATCAAAGTTATTTATGATATTAGTTTCAATAGACAGGTGTGTGCTTTGAATATATAATATAAAAGGTAAACACATTAAGTATATGTGAGATAAAAGTGATCGACATTTCAAACAATTATTATTGTGTGAAGACATTCAAACATTGAATATGAATTTAAATCAATTAATTCAATTGAAATGTTTAGCAAATAGTTTGCAACAAATTAGTGATAAATTTCGTAAAATATGTGAACAAATCAATTTTGATGTAAATATTACAACAAATGATTGCAGTTTATTGAAAATTACTGATTATGACTGTTATGATGACAACACACGTGTCGATAATAACATAATATTTAAGTGCTTTTGGCCTAAATGTCGGTTTAAATCAAAATCAAAATTTAACTGAACATCAATTGAGTCATTCATCTGACAAGAAATTCAAATGTGATTTCAATGATTGTAATCAAACATTTGGTACTAAAAGAACTTTGAAATATCATAAAAATCTTAAACATCTAAATCTAACTTTTATTTGTGATTTGAAAGATTGCCATAAAAGGTATAATACAAAGCATGACCTAAAGCTCCATAAATCTATTGTTCATTATAAAAGTCAATCATTTGTTTGTAATTATAATAATTGTGGAAAAAATTTCACAAATAAAATAAATTTGAAAAGACATTTATTGTCAGTACATCTAAAAGACAAACCGTTTAAATGTGATGTCGAGTATTGCGATCAAATATTTTCACGAAAATCTCTGTTAAATAAACATAATTTACAACATTTACGTAAAACTAGATTTATATGTTCAGTGAACGAGTGTTTGAAATGTTTTACAACAAATCATTGTTTACAACAACACATATCATTAGATCATTCAATTGATCCTTTATTTAATGAATTACAATAATTGTAATAAATGTTTTTCAACAAAATATGGTCTCAATTATCACAAACATTGCTTACATACGATATATTAATAAAATTTATTTGGTTTTAAGAAATATATTTTTATTAAAAAATAAAATATTAATTTTATTACTTATTTCATATGTTTTTTTCATTAATAAATAAATTATAACTTTTCAAAAGTTTTTTATTTATTATTACAATATTAATATTATTTTTCTAATTAAATAAATAGATAGCATTAATGTATTATTTGTAAAAAATGTTTGTTAGAGAGGTTTTAATCATAACATTTATTTTTTATAGCAATTAAACCAAAAATGAAACCGTAATCTAGTATTTGTTGTTATGATTGTTTAGATTTAGAATAAATTAAAATTATGAAAATAATTATAATAACCGAAACCAATAGGTTATCCGTTAAACTACTCTATTGTATTGTATTTTAATAGTCTATTTAATAATTAACTCAATACTATTGACAACACTTATGTATATTATTGTTTAGTTTTGAAAAAATGTGGTTTTAATTATTTAATTAATTAACAATTAATTACTGGTTTAGTGTATTATAATTGGATTTACGTTTAGTTATATTTGATAGTATTTTGTAGTCAACAATCATTTTGTTTTAATTAATTGTTTCGATATTTAATTGTAGCCAAAATGTAAGTCAATTTATTTAATATAAACTTTTAATATCATATATGATATCTGATTAATACATTTATACTATAATTATTATACTGTAGTATAGGTTTTGAATTGATTGTAAAGATCACTGAAGACAACAACAACAACATTGATGTCAATGGGGAAGAATGACTCGTTTGATCGTTTCGGCGATGATTTGTGTCAACTATTGCTTCAATATCTGCCAATCGATGACAAACTGAGACTACAATCGGTGTCCAAACAGTGGTTGGCATTGATATTCAATACACAAACTGATCTCATATTTAATAATAAACTATTGAAAACAGTGTCTTTGAATACAAGTCGTGACAATAATTGGTTAATTAGATTGTTTGAAGTGATTGTCTCAAAGTGTCCAAACATTACTACAGTTAACATAAGATTAAGGTAAGGGTTTTGATCTATTATTTCTATTATTTTATTGATGAAAATAATTTTTATTATAAAATATTTTTTTTCTTATATATAATTCATACTATAGTTCAATACTTTCCGGTGCTGTTTATATTATCAACCGTTTAATCAATTTATTAATGAAAAACTGTCACCGATTGCGACACTTCTCAATTATATTCAATTACAACGATTTCTTGTTGGACGGCGGACTCTGGCCGGACATCTATGATATGTTTAAACTGTTTATCTGTCAATTTGGCCAACAATTGTTGACATTCAAGTTTGTTGGCTATAATAAGGAATTTAATAAACTATTATTTTATGAAGTGGTCGACAGTATACCTAACTTGAAAACACTTTATACCGGTTCTGTCCAATTAAATGATATATTCATTGGTAATAATAATAATATGTATTATTCGTTACCAAAATCGTTGCAATCATTGAATATAACACTGAATGTCTCGACAATGCCTTTGTTCCTTAATTTTTGCGAAATTTTTGGCCAACAATTGACATCATTGACGATAATGTTTGAACAATTGATGGTTGATTATGACAATGATGATGACGATTACGAAGAATGGCCCGATTGGAACAAATGGGATTTGAAACCATTATTAGCCGGTTTTGAACAAATGTCTCGATTAAAACAACTTAAATTTGAATTGATGTACGATTTGGACATTAATTTTATCGGCGATATATTTGAGACAATTGGCCGCAACTGTCGCCAACTTAAATCATTAGACTATCACTCGGAAAGTTCAACTATAGAAACAATTGGCCGTATGTTTACCGCAATCAACAAACATATATCACAACAATTGAGACGATTATCAGTGGTTTGTGTGGCTTATTGTGACAAACAATATATAGATATTTTAAAGACAAACAGTTTATTAAACCGATTGAACGGATTAACACATTTGACAATTCAATTAGAAAATGATAATCTAATCGATGATAAGTTTTTCCGTGACATTCATCTCAATCATCCGCGACTACAGTATATAAACTTTGACAGACTGTCCATTACTGAAGAGTCGATCCAAGCTATGGGACAGTTGGCACACCTGACGGATGTCAATCTCTGGTGGGTTTTTAAAAATCTGACAACAAGTGAATCATTTATTTACAATCATTTACTTAATGGTACTAAAGTTAAACACTTGTCTATTAATTACAATGATTTAACATTAGGTTATCAAGAATTTAAATTTGGAAAATATATTAATCCTATTAGAGATTGGGATTATAATTCATTATATTATGAATAGACTTATAATATAAAGTTAAAAATAATGTATATTTAAATTTATATTACAAATTGTAATTTACAATTAAATTGTTTACAAATTTATATCTATATAAAAATTTATATTACAATATACAGTATAGCAATAGTTTTATTATTACAAAAATATATATAATATAAAAAACTCGTTTTTGGATTAAAAAATAAAAGTTAATTTTGATATCTGTTTCAATGGATAAATGGAATGGAATAATTGTCACAAAAAATTTGAAAATAAATACAATCTTAAAATACATATATCGGCTGTACATCTAATGGTCAGACCGTTAAAATGTGATGTCGAGTATTGCGTGAAAACATTTTCGCAAAAATAGATTTATTTAGACATAAATTAATAATACATTTATCTAAAAAATGATTTTATGTGTTCAGTCAACGAATGTTAGAAAAGTTTTACAACAAATCATTGTTTACGACAACACATATCAAGCGATCATTCAATTGAAGCACAATTTAAATGTAATTACAATACATGTAACAAAAGTTTTTCATCAAAAAAAGGTGTCGATTATCACAAACAAAATGTTCATTAAATATATATTAATAAAAATAAAATAAATAGAAATTATAATAATTACATAATTATTTTATTGTAATGTTAATATTTATTTTTTATATAATATTAATTAAATCAGTTTTTTAGATTAATTTTATAAATTAATTGTGATTTCAGTTTTAATTAGTCAAGTTTGACCTTTGAATGTCTAAAAGAAAAAATAATAAAATTTATTACATTTAATGATTAGTTTGTTATTAAAATTAATAATTTATTTAAATAAAAAATCATAAGTAATATTTATTTATTTTAAATAAAAGCATTTATATTATTATTATTATTTGTTTTATTAATAAAATAAAATATAATTATTAATTAATATTTATTTTTTTAGTTTTCTTTATATATTTTATTTAATAGATTTATTATTACAATATTAATGTTACTTTTATTTTAGACAAATAGACGGCAATAATATTTTTTTAATATAAATTAAGTGATAATTTTATTATCAAATAAATATTAATATCATGTTTACTATTAATACGTTTATATGTAATATTAGATAAGTGTCATTCATATCATTCATATTATAGTGACTGTTATGATGACAATAACACACGTGTGGATAACAACAACACGCTATTCACGTGTTTTTGGCCTAAATGTCGGTATAAAACAAAAACTAAATCTAATTTAACTGAACATCAATTGAGTCATTCATCTGACAGGCAATTCAAATGTGATTTTAATGATTGTAATCAAACATTTGGTACTATAAGTGGTTTGAAATATCATAAAAATGCTAAACATCTAAATCTAAGTTTTGTTTGTGATTTCAATAATTGTCATAAAAAATATAATACAAAGCAAAACCTAATACTTCATAAATCTATTGTTCATTATAAAAGTCAATCATTTGTTTGTAATTATAATAATTGTGGCAAAAATTTCACAAATAAAGTAAATTTGAAAAGACATTTATTTTCAGTACATCTAAAACATAAACCGTTTAAATGTGATGTCGAGTATTGCAATCAAATATTTTCACGAAAATCTCTGTTAAATAAACATAATTTACAACATTTACGTAAAACTAGATTTATATGTTCAGTGAACGAGTGTTTGAAAAGTTTTACAACAAATCATTGTTTACGACAACACATATCAAGAGATCATTCAATTGAACCTAAATTCAAATGTGATTACATTAATTGTAATAAATGTTTTTCAACAAAATATGGTCTTAATTATCACAAACATTGTTTACATTAAATATATTAATACAATTTATTTGATTTTTAAGAAATATATTTTTATTAAAAAAAATAAATTATTAATTTTATTTAAATTATTAGATAATTATTAAAATTCATAATATACTGTAAATTAAAAACTTTTTAAATTTATTACTTATTTTATCTGCTTTTCCATTAATAAATAAATTATAACTATTCTAAAGTTTTTTATTTATTATTACAATATTTATGTTAAATTTAAAATTAAATAAATAGATAGCATTAATATATTATTATTGGTGAAAATGTTATAGCAATTAAACCAAACCTAAGTTTTAAAATGAAACCTTAATCTAGTATTTGTTGTTATTATTGTTTAGATTTATAGAATAGATTAAAATTATGAAAATAATTATAATAACCGAAACCAATAGGTTATCCGTTAAAACTACTCTATTGTATTGTATTTTAATAGTCTATTTAATAATTAACTCAATACTATTGACAACACTTATGTATTATTGTTTAGTTTTGAAAAAAAATGTTGTTTTAATTACTAAATTAATTAACAATTAATTACAATCAATTAGTGTATATTAAAATTGGATTAACTTTTAGTTATATTTGATAGTATTTTGTAGTTAACAATCATTTTGTTTTTATTAATTGTTTCGATATTTAATTGTATTGATTGCCATATATTTTGTATACAATTATAGCCAAAATGTAAGTCAATTAATTTAATATAAACTTTTAATATCATATATGATATGATATCTGATTAATACATTTATACTATAATTATTATACTGTAGTTTAGGTTTTGAATTGATTGTAAAGATCACTGAAGACAACAACATTGATGGCAATGGCGAAGAATGACTCGTTTGATCGCTTCGGCGATGATTTGGCGGAAATATTGCTTCAATATCTGCCAATCGATGATAAACTAAGATTTGAATCGGTGTCCAAACAGTGGCAGTCATTGATATTCAATACACAAACGGATCTCGTATTTGATAAAAAACTATTGAAAACAATGTCTTTGAATTCAAGTCGTGACAATAATTTGATAATTAGATTGTTTGAAATGATTGTCTCAAAGTGTCTAAACATTACTGAAGTTACCATAAGATATGGGTAAGGGTTTTGATTTATTATTATTAGTGATGAAAATAATTTTTATTATAAAATATTTTTCATATATATTATATATGATATCATAATTCATACAATAGTTCAATACATTCAGATGTTGATTATATGATGAGCCGTATTATCGATTTATTGATCAAAAACTGTCACCGATTGCAACACATTTCTATTAAACATAATTACGACGGCCACTGGTCAGTCATCTATCGTATGTTTGAACTGTTTATCTGGCAATTTGGCCGACAATTGTTGACATTCAAGATAGACGGCTATAATCATGAATTTAATAAACAATTATTTTATAAAGTGGTCGACAGTATGTCTAACTTGAAAACAGTGAATATCATTAGCTATAAAACTACTCTCCAATTAAATTATATATTAATTGATAATAATATGTGTAATTCGTTACCGAAATCATTGCAATCATTGAACATAAAACTGAATCAGTTGTCGATACCTTTGTTCACTAATTTTGCCGAAATTTTCGGCAAACAATTGACATCATTGGCGATAATGTTTCAACAATTGATGGTTGATTATGATTATAACTATGACGATGATGATGACTATGAATGGCCCAATTGGAACAAATTGGATCTGAAACCATTATTAGCCGGTTTTGAACAAATGCTTTAGTTTTAAACTAAAGTTTTATTTGCCGTATGATTTGACACCAACTTTATGGGCGATTTATTTTCGACAATTGGCCGCAACTGTCGACAACTTAAATCATTAGATTATCACTCAGAAAGTTCAACTATAGAAACAATTGGCCGTATGTTTACCACAATCAACAAACATATGTCCAAACAATTGAGACGATTATTAGTGGATTGTATATCTTATTGTGACAAACAATACATAGATATTTTAAAAACAAACAATTTATTAAACCGATTGACACATTTGACTATTCAATTAGATAATGATAATCTAATCGATGATAAGTTTTTCCGTGATATTCATGTCAATCACCCGCGACTACAGTATATAAACTTTGACAGACTGTCCATTACTGAAGAGTCGATCCAAGCTATGGGACAGTTGGCACACCTGACGGATGTCTATCTCTGTTGTCTCAATCGAAACAAACTTTTGACGACAAGTGAATCATTTATTTTTAATAATTTACTTAT